ATATATATATATATATATATATATGTGTGTGTGTGTATATATATATGTATATAAAAAGGTTCATTGAAAATGTATAATAATATCTTAATACTAAAATAAAGAAGAATAATAATCTGAGAAGAATACATTTTTAAAAAATCGCTAATATTGGCTGATAACTGATATATTACTAATATATTGTACATTCTTATTTATAAGGCCTGGTCAATGTAAACACCAACATCAGTTCTAAACATTGAGCTTCATGAGAAATTATGCTGGGGTTTTTTGTGTCTCTCTTTTTGTGATGAAGGATCTTCACGGCTATGGAGTGAAGTCAGACATCTACAGTCTGGGAATCGTGGTGTGTGAGCTGGTCAGTGGCAGAGTGCCATTCCAGGACATGCCGCCCACTCTGGTACTGCAGTTCTTCACCTGTGCATCTACTGCACCTGCGAGCATTAGACCCTGATTACTGAACACTCACTTCCTGTTTCTTCTTCTTGAGATGCTGCTTCAGAAGCTGCGGGGTTCTCACTGTTGTCTCCTCGACGTCCCTCCTTACCCGCTCGGGGACATGGGTGCGCTCAAGGTGTCCCGCTCCGGTGTGGACACATACATACAGTAGTCAAGATTTGAAGTGGATCAAAACCTTTCGTTAAAATTGTCCTAAAACCTAAAACCAAAATGCGTTCTTGTCTTAAGACAACTTTGATTAATTATTTTGATCCACTTGAAATGTTGACTGCTGTATATCATGTAAACAAAAACGTCTATTTTGGATGCGATTAATCGCGATTAATCATTTGACAGCACTAATATATATATTTGAAAATAATATTTATATTATTATGTTTACAAGAGCATTGTTGTAGTGAAAATCAATTACATTTTAATAATGAAAACATGTTGCATACATAAATATGTATATAATACCAATTTGCAAGAAGTAAAATTAGTAAATTTTTTTTGTTTAATGTTACATGGAACTGTTTTCATAGGGACTGTTGATGTATGGAGTAAACTTCCAAAAATGCCAAAAAAAAAAGAATAAATTAATAATAAAATTAATTAATGTTATTATTAATGTTTGTTTGTTTTTTTTTACCGTTCCATGAAACAGATTGACAATAATGTCATTATTCGAAGCAAATATAACAGCATTTGGGTTCGCAACAATATGAGAGGGAGTAAATAATGACAGAATGCTAATTTTTTGGAATGCGTTAAAGCAATAGTTTCTGTCATTCTGTCATTATTTGCCCCTGCAATGATGATTAAGCTATTGCTTTAAGAGGACTGACTGTATTTGTGGGACATTTTCAGAATTTTAGAAGCATTCACACAAATCTTATGTAGACAAAAGTGCTGGTGCATTTATAGTTATGTGTATTATTTGCAGAACGAGGTTCTGCGAGAGTGTTGCGACCGGAAGTCTGACCCGTACTGCCACAGCGGAGAGACCTCAAAGCCCCGCCCCCAAAAACCACTCGGCCACACTGCACAACCTGGTCCAACTGTGCCTGCAGCAGCAGCCTGAGCGCAGGTACACACACAGAGACCCTTAGCAAATATTACAGCTCAGAATGAACAATTAACAATCTTTGGGATGGCACAATAAAGGGACGTTCACTTGCAGAACGCAAGCTTCTAGAGGGCGAGTAAATAATGACAGAATGCTAATTTTTTGGAATGCGTTAAAGCAATAGTTTCTGTCATTCTGTCATTATTTGCCCCTGCAATGATGATTAAGCTATTGCTTTAAGAGGACTGACTGTATTTGTGGGACATTTTCAGAATTTTAGAAGCATTCACACAAATCTTATGTAGACAAAAGTGCTGGTGCATTTATAGTTATGTGTATTATTTGCAGAACGAGGTTCTCCTGTCCAGACTGTTCCGTCACCCAAACCTGCTGACGTCCAGACTGGTGTTCAGCTCGTGCTGTCAGCTCTGGGTGCTGTCTCCTCTAATGAGCTACGGTAAGAGTCACCTGGAATTCACAGAACATCCTCTTTCTTTTCCCATCCTTCCCTTGTTTCATTTCCCTCTCCGCACGTGTCTCATTCAGGTTCTGCAGACTCTCTGCTCAGGTCGTATTTTCCGGACGGAATGAGCGAGTCTCTGATAGCGTACCTGCTGTACGGGGTGCTCCGAGCGCTGGAGTACCTGCATCACATGGGTTACGTGCACAGGTGAGCACACGATGACTGTTTCACAGAGACGAGAAACCCGACTGAATCTGGTCTCCTCACCTGGTGTGTCCTGCAGGGGTGTGAAGGCGAGTCATGTGCTGCTGTCAGCTGAAGGCCGTGTGTGTTTGTCGGGGATGCAGAGTGTGTACAGTTTGATGAAGGATGGCAAGAGGATGAGAGCTGTGTTTGACATGCCTCAACACAGTCCGTCTCTGCTGCCCTGGCTGAGTCCGGAGCTGCTGCGACAGGTGACGTTCACACACCGTCCACACATGAAAGCTGTTCCCAACAGACTGTTTATAACAAAAAACAATTTATAAACAGCAAGACAACTTTTAAAAATTATTTCAAAATTATTACAAATTAAAAAAAAATTTACTTGGATTAGATTGTGGCACAGGTATTCTAAATGTAAAAAATGAGCACGCACAATTAAACATCCAAAACTATCTCATATACACGCTACCATTCTTTTTTTTCTTTTTTTTTTCAAAGAAATGAATACTTTGTTTAGCAAGGACACATTAAATTGACCAAAACCAACATTATTTATTAATGTGACAAAAGATTTCTGGAGTAATTATGTTGAAAATGCCATCTCAGGAATAAATTGCATTTTAAAATATATATTGAAATAGAAAACAGTTTTAAATTGAAATAATATTTTACAATATTACTTTTTTTTTGCTGTATTTTTGATAAAAATGCAAATAAATAAAAAAAACAAAACATAAATCTTACACACATTACACAAACTTTGAAACTAACTTACTTTATTTATGAATTTTAACTTCCTTTATTTCAGTGAGTTGTCAACATTTCTCATTTACGTTTAACAATTCTTATCAAACGCTTACCAATTTTTATTTTATTTTATTTTTCAACTTTAACTTGATGTACTAAATTATCTTGAAACTAAAATTGAAATAAATAAATAATAATAATAAAACCTATATAGACATAAAAAAACTACATTTACAAAAATGCACTACAAATTAAAATGAAAACAGAATATATA